GTGAATCCATCGGATGGTTGTCTATCAATACGCCAATTGAAACATAAAAAACCACAACAATGTTTGGCCACAAAACTCGGTTAAACTCAATAGTGATCTCAATATTAGTTGTAATCATAAATAGTGTGAAATGTGATGAACCGGACATATGTTACGGAAGCGGTGTTCAGACCATTGAGAGAGTGGTGTTTCGGGACGACATCCACAGGTATTTCGTGAGTTCGGGCCGTTATTATTGGTTCATCAATGAGACCAACGATTTGCCCACAAGTGATACCGCATCACAACTGCCCTATGGTTTCGAGCCGGACGTCGCCCTCACCCGAGACACCGAAGGCTGTCCGGGAGGCCTATACTCACTGCTACTCATCCAGGTATACAACCCTCACATTATGTCACTGTATATCATGTTTATTATGTGTCTATGGTTTTAATTTAGCCATTTGTATGCAAACAAAATATACATTTTATTTTATTATGTTTAGACTTTAATCTATTAACTGTTAGTTGTGTTCATAACTGTCTACTCAAATGAGTTGGCAATTGTGTCCGGAATTTATAAATAGTTAACAAAACTTTTTGGTGAAAATGTTTATAAAATGTTAGCCAAAGAGACACGAAATGCTGTTTAAATATAAACATTATAAACATTTGCATCATTTATATCCGGGTTTTATTCAACATTTTATGGCTATTTTGTAAATATAATTCACTTTTTTGTATTCACTTTCCATTAATTAGTTTTTTTGTATTTAATACATGAAAATCAAAGTACAATACATTTAGTTAATTATATTTCTCTTACAAAAAATAATTATATTTTTAAAGTTTAATTTTAATGAATAGAAAAAAGTAAAATCAAACCAATTATTAATACATATTGCGATATAATTATAGGTAAACACCGGGAAAACAGTTCAGTGCCTGATATATAATGCCTCCAAAATAGTTTTGGGAACATTATATATAGTCTGTATTATTGTTATTCAATGTATTGATTAGTAATAAAATATTTTACGAGAGAGAGAGAGAATAGGATAAATATTTGTGTCAAATTACCTAAATGTAAATTCAATAAATTAGAGAAAACATTATCTTTTCCTTTCGGGAAAACAATTTTAAAGTTTGAATTTCAAATGCATTGAAATTAAAACTCTTATCAAATTTATAATGTTGTTATGCGATCATTAGGAAAAACATTTAATTTGACGCTAATTATAATTATGAATCTGTGTTAATATTAAACCAAAGTTTCTATTAATAGCAAAATATTAATAAATACATTTTTAATACAGTATTATTATAATTAAAATCGAGATTTAATTTCAAACATAATTCAAACTTCATTTGTTTTTTATATTATACATTATAAATGCAATCAAAGTATGGCATCAGATATTATGTTAGTTTATTTGAGAAGCACTTGATATTTATGTCATTGAATTTAAACAATTCTTCAAAACACTTAAAAATCGTTAATTTATGACTAAATTTAAACACAAGAAACAAAAAATCTTTTTTGTTTAGAAAATGTATTTTTAAGAAGAGTTCAAAAGATTAAATTGAATGGTTTGGGAATTTTCTCATTTCAAATCGACGCCCAAATTATGCCAAAATAACGCTAATTATTATTTAACAACACTTGACTTTTGTCTCTCAGAATAACCACTATTTTCTCACAATTTAGTTTAGTTTTTGGTTTTTTAAAGTCTTATTTTGTTTTTATTTCTCTTTCGGTTAATGTTATAAATATTTGAAATTATTTTCGTATTTCAATAGAGAAAACTGATTAGCAGTACGAACGAAGAGGAATGGCTAACAATGGACTACTCGATCGGTTCGTGGGGTGAGAACGGGACGGACGCCGGGCAGTGGGAGGAGCCGGTGAGGATCGCCCGGTGCTCTCTGGACTCAGCCGTGTGTTCCACTTCTGACAACTACTTCGCGACAATGAATTTCAATTTCAAACGATCGCTGGACGCGGCCTTCGGGGTCATCGGTCGCAACGCTTTCTTCATTCAAGGCTTGTGTCGATTCCTATAATTAACTCAAACTTTTTTGTTTCGTTCAAAAATAAAACTCAAAACTAAATAAAGAACTCATTTATCATTAGAGAGACTGAACTATATTTAAGCACAAGTTTATGAAAAAATTCTGCTATGGTTTTAGTGTTTAGTTAGTGTTGTTTTTTCATGTATTATAATACTCGTCAGTGCTTTCATAAAAATCAAAATTGATTTGTTTGATACGAAAATAATTTACCCCAAAATAGGTAGCGATATCTGCATAACCGGTTCCCCCCATAAGACAACAACAAAAATCAGTTTTTTAGTGACCATTGATTTTATTGTTTCTCATGTCTATAACAATAACACAAATTTAATGAATTGTTGTTCTCATTGACAGCGAATAGGAAAAAAAATTAATGATATTTTTGGGAATAGATTAGGAATTATATTGTTTTAAAATTGAAAACTTTAACTTTAATTATAAATTTCATTTGTAATTAAAAAACTAAAAGATTAACCAAAAATTGAATTTTGATTGATTTGATAGATTCGCTAATATATAACGTGAGTTACAAAACCCGTTGCGTTGAACACCCGTACTCTCAAGTGTTCGCTCAGTCGCCCAAACCGTTGTCGACACGCGTGAGCGCCGGCGCTCTCATTGGCGACCAAACGCTGCTCTTATTTGACCGCGAATTCTACGCCAATGTCACCGACTTTTACAACATAACCGACGATGACTTGAGCGACGACAAGTGGACCCAAACGCCGCACAACTTCTTCACGGCGTGTCCGCCGTTGGCCGCAACGCTCGGCTCATTCCTATACGACATCTTCACGGACTCGCGAAGCCGTACAATGACTGCAACCGTTTTGATTGTCATTATAATTGTATTGGTTTTGATCGTCATATCTGTGGTCTCGTTAGTGGTTTGGATGAGTTTGCGGCGCAAAACGATGCGAATCACGAAAGATAGCGAAAACGCCGACACATCCAGCGATTCGCCACTACATGAGGAGCATCTCCTCAAAAGTGATTCGCCTAAAGATGTGGCCAAAGATAGTAATAAAGATCCAAATCAAGTAAGAATACCACTGCAAACCAGTTGCTAACCAAATGTCTTGTGTCGACAAAAAACCGATTCATTTGTTTTGTTTTTTCTTATCATTTTTTTGTCTCAAGAAAACTGTTTAAATACAATACTTGTGTATAGATCTGATCTGATAGTGAAAGTGCTGTTCTGTTGTTCTCACATGTATTCATCACTTGACTATATTTTGGGACACAATTCCTGTTCAATCATGTCTTGCGCTTGAATTCATGCGACAATACAAACACTAACCCAAGACTTAACACACTATCAATTAAGTCGTTTTGATCTGACATTTATTTGTGACTTTATGTTACATATTGTTTAATAATTAGTACTTATATTATAACGTGGCATATGTTTGTTAATTACATTACAAATTAATTTCATTCATTATAATTAATTCAAAATGTTTTTAATTACTTTTAATTTATTTATAATTCAATAATTATACAGAGAAATGACAAAATAGTAGTTTAACTGTAATTCTTAATGCATTTTTAAAAACACCACTCATTGAAAACAACCATAAAAGTTAATTAATAGATAAATAACTGTAGACTTGAGGATGTTTTTTGTGTGTCGACGACAACCCATCCCTTTCACTGGTTGTCGTCAACAAGACTTTTAATTAAATGTCCATTTTTTACGAACACTTCTTATACATGAGTTTGATATGAAGATAAATATTTTTTAGTTAATACGATCTGACAGTCAAATAGGTTTTAATTTTTTATATACACACACTTTGATGTACACTAAATATATCCTTATATTTATTAAATGTCAGTCAAAATATGTCTAAAAGATATTTATATAAAAGTAAGAGTAATGTGAAAAAACTACTGACACTAAATATATACCACAAAAACCACAAAATAATTCTCACTTTAATCCGAAAATATTAAATGAATTTCGAAAGAAATATCTCTTTTTATTGTGTTTTCTGTGAAAAATTGACTGTTTTTTCCTCAAAATAAAAAGTAAAATATGAATTCAAATCAAAATCATTTGCGAAACTAAATAGTTTTTGTAACACAAATCTATTCATCTGTAAAAATATTATATGTTTTTTATGACAAGAATTCAATTATTATGTGACCTAAAGATGAATTGACTTTTTATTATTATTAATTTAAACATTAGCTTAAAAATTAAGTTTCGTTTTATTGAATAATAACTTTTAGGACATTTATATGAACGGAGAAATAGTTTTATGTTTAATATTTTAAATAATAATAATAATAATCAAAATGTATTATAAATGTAAAGTAAATTATCTATAATTAAAATAAAAATGATTTATTCACGAATTGTTTGTACGATTTCTTTTATACATTTTCAAATTATGTACCAATTGTTTGTCATTTTAACCGTCAATTAAACTATAATTTGTTGCCAACAAAATTAGTCAAATAATTAGCTATTTCTTACGGTTAATTAATTGTTCATTATATCTATTACTTTTAAAATTTCTCTCTCTCTCTCTCTCTCTCTCTCTCTCTCACTCACTCACTCACTCACTCCTTTCAATTGTCGTGAATGTGACTCGATCACTCCTGGTAACTTTCCAGCGAGTAATCAAGATAAGTTTGATGGGCTACCTGTCCAATCAGCACTCCCTTCGAACACCTCATAATCATACGATACACACACTTATATACTTACTTTTAAGTCATATACACATTATATAAGACTCACTCTTTCTATGTATTAAATGCAGTCTAATGTAGCCTCTCTTCGGAAGGTGTTTTCTCTCTAATTAATATTTAATAATTAATAATATTTAAAGTTATTGTTTGTTAATTGTAACGAAGTGTACAGTTTATGTGTATTGGTACAATATCAGGTGACCGCTCAGAATCTACTTTCATCACACAATTATTTATATAAAATTGTTATGAAAGTAATTTTACATAATTTCTCATTTATTATATAAGTGACAAACTAGTTAATTTTGACAGAATTTCCTTGGTAAAAATCCACAAAACGTCTATCAATTAGAGAATTTTGTCGCTGAATTATTTTTGATTAGTTTAATATTTAAATATATTTGTTAAATAATATTAAAAGTATTAAGAAATTTATGAAATGCCTAAAATATACTGCACTAAAAGGAGGAAAAACATATAATAATACACCGTATGTTACAAAACAAACTCCACATATGTTAATAGCGTTTCGAAATATGTTTTATTTGTTACCAAACATTTAACCAGAAACTCATCAAATTGTAAATTCGCAATTATTCAACATTATTCAGCATTAATACCATTGGATATTAACATAAAAAATTTTCACAGAAAGTCAACGAAGATTTTTAAATTAAACCACAAAATTGTGTTTGAAATCAATTGTGATTTACGTGTATTTGACAGACAGTTTGAATTGATTTTTTTCAAACAAAGTTTAAGCCAAAAATGTTGGGCCAAAAGATTGAAATCATTTTTAAATTAAACCACAAAATTGTGTTTGAAATCAATTGTGATTTACGTGTATTTGACAGACAGTTTGAATTGATTTTTTTCAAACAAAGTTTAAGCCAAAAATGTTGGGCCAAAAGATTGAAATCAATGGTTTGAATATACATTATGTGAAAGTAGGGACGGGTCCTGAAAAGGTACTGCTGTTGCCCGGAGGCCTCGGTAATTCACCATATATTATATTTTAAATATTTCAATATTACTTTCAATGCGATGTTTTCACATTATATCAAAACTGAAGGCACGAGTCAAACGGATTTTAGCGATCAATTGTCAAGTTTTGATCCAAACGTGTTTACACTCATCGCATGGGATCCTCCGGGTTATGGGTAGGGATTCAACCATTTTTGTTGCTATTTATTCTCAAACATATCATTTAATATTTGTATAATTAATTTTCAAAATATTAATTGAAAAATGTAAATTAAATTTACATTTTTGTATTTGTAACAAATTTTATTGAACAAACAGATACAGTCGACCCCCGGAAAGGGATTGGCGTCTAGAAATATATGCCATAGACGCGGACCTGGCGGCCAAACTAATGCAGGTTTAGCTTGTTTATAAATGTATTTAAATTAATTTTAAAAATAATTAAAATAACGTTATATTACAAGAAATTGGGAATCAATTTCTACTCAATACTGGGTTGGAGTGACGGCGCAAAGACAGCGCTACAAATGGCCATTAAATATCAATCGGTGATCAATAAAACGGTGATTTGGGGCGTTGGCTGCTTCTGTAAGCCCGAAAACATACGAGCACTCTATGCGACCAGAAATGTGAAGGTATCCCACATTTCATAACCTAATATTAGGACCGAAATAAACATTTAATGTATGCAAAAAAAGGTGTGGAATCCAAGAGTTCGGGAACCCTTTGAATCGGTTTACGGGAATGAATTGCAGACTCTATGGGGCCGACTCGTGGACTTCTACCAGTCGACCATGCTCAATTGGACGCTCAAGAGCGAGATCAAACGGATCCATTGCCCGACATTCATACTACACGGCGATATCGATCCGCTCATCGATTTAGAGCATCCGAACTACTTATTGAGTCACATATCGGACTCAAGACTGCATCGATTCGCCGACGGATCCCATAATATTCATCAGGAGTTCGCCAAACAATTCAATCAATTAGTTCAGGATTTTCTCCTCGAGTGAAACGCACACTCCATGTCATGAGTGATTGGCTTTTGATTTTTCTTGGTATAAATTTTTCAATGTTTTGTTTAATGTTTCTTAAAGGCTGACATACATTCAGACATACATATTATTGTCTGAAATTATATGGGTTTAACTTTTCCATTGAATAAATAAAATATTGCTTTAAATAATAAAACAATTGTCCGAAAACAAGAGATCGTCAGTAAATGTTATACTTTTAATGTTTTTATAAACAAGTTTTACAGAAAAAGTTTAACGAAAGCCAAAGCAATGAGTTGTGGCACTAATTTTGGATTACTGTTAATTGGCGTCGAGTTATAAATAGAGGCCTCGATGTGAACGAAATCCGTTGGATTCGTTTCATTGCTTTTGTTTCCAAACATATTCTGTATGTCTTTAGTTCTGCTGTTGTCCTCGACGTCCAACTCGTTATTGCTGTCCAAAGCGATGCCCAACGAGTTTGGATCAACCGATTGGTCCAGAAAACAGGCCGGATATGTGAATGTCTTATCCTGTGGTAGACATGATCTATAAGTGAGTATTCTTGATGTGGCGCTCGACGTGTATGTCTTGTAAAACTCTTCGTTCACAAGAATGGCCGCCTGTGCGCCGCACCTGTCAATCACCGATTTGACGGCACAGGTCTGGTACTCAACCCACCAACTGATCACACGTTTCATATAGTTTCAGAATATAATCAATTAAGATCATGATTGATCAATTACAGTATATGACATATACTATATGTCTATAATATAATATAGTTATTTGTTGAACACTTACCAACAAATTTGCCTAACTTTTTGAAAATTCTCGGCTCTGGTGTTGTTTCGCGAATAGCCGACCGCAGAGAGCACCTCCTCCTTCGCTTGTGTCAAAAGT